AAAATCTAAAATATAAACTAGAAACATCCATCAGAGTGCAAAGTCTTCTCTCTCTTCTAGAAATGATTATTTATTTCTATATTAGGATATGATGCTCTTTAATTTGCCGATTGTCAAAGAAAAGGCCAGCGTGTGTTTTATTGTAAGCGTACTTTCGTTGGGTCAAACTGGGTTTCTAGAAGACAAAAAAATAATTGTGTGAGTCAAGCGCTGTACTCTTTTGAATTGTACTAGAGCCTGGCAATTATTTTATTGGCCATATAATACAAAGAGATTCGTTGATGACCAAACACATGACATGATGCCTTTGGGAGGGGGAAAGTCCAACCCAAACTCGTTGGGTGGCTGTACTTTTGGTTATTACCCCCTTGACTATGTCCTTTAGCATTATCACTTTGGATACACACCCCCCTGAATTAGATATTTTGGTATGCTCATATGGGATATGGTAGTGAGAGCCTAACAACATTTTCAACCAATGTCAACATATTGATGCAACCAGAACGTACTAGGAGTATCTTTATATTAGAATCTTTCTATCCAAAACTGGCTCTCTCAAGATCTTTCAAATATATGCTTTGAGGCTATTTGTATTATACCTTTAGGCGCATGTGTGTATTTAGACTGAATAAAAGACATTAAAACTACGACCATTTCCGAAGAGCTTATTGGTAAGAAAAAAGATAAATGTATCCTGAAATTGATATGTCTAATCTAAAGTTTAGACTCCCAGATTCAAAACCAAGGCGTATACTTGTCCCCTAATTACTATTTCTTATTCATGTAGCACATGTGAATGCTTAATAAATTACTCCCACATGCATGACAAACTCACTTTACATGACTCTATCCCTCTCATAAAGAGTTGCGAACACCCTTACTAGTATTTGCAGTGTTCTGAGGGGAATGGTCCTCTTTTTTTTTTATCCATCTAATGTTTCAGATCTCAACTACTTATTGACATGTATAATTCCTTAAATGTTCAAAATGATGAATTACAGATAGTCCTCATCATTCTCACTAACTAAGAAGCGATAAGTTGAAATAAACAAATAACAAGGGGTAATCTATAATTTGTCCTAATTCTAAATTGGATTAATTGCGAACATACCCCTTGTATCATCCAATTGTAGATAGACTGTATAGTTTTATTTGTTACGAATATAGCCCCTAAGTGATTTTTTTATTCTTAAAATAATAAAAAAGATTTGAGGAGGCCGATAGATTCTCTATAATTCTATTTGCGAGGATAGACCCCCCACACCACCCCAACTGATAATTCTTTTAAAGAGTTGAAAAACTTTACTAAGCGGGTGTTTTCGCACTTGGTGTTAGTACTATAGGGGGCCTATTAGCAAAAAAAAAAAAAAAAACTAAAAAGAGTCTATTTGTAATTTGATGATACTAAGAGGATCTTATCCACAATTAACCCTTCTAAATTTCAATGTCTGCCAAGTCCAAATTAAAACCACCATCTTTGTCCGAGAATGCATTCATGCAAATAAAATATTTTGAAGTGATGAAGTAGCAAAAAAGCATTGACACGTTGTACACGCAAAAAGCCAATCAATGCTCATAACCCTTTCTCGACGCGCGTATGGACTTTGTCCATTCCCCTCATTATATGTCTTCCTCCTCTTCTCCTCCCTCGATTTCTTTCCATCTCCAAAATTTCTCTAATCTATCTCATGCCACCAAAAACCCTCCATTAGCTCCAAAATTACAATAATGACCTCCGAGAGACCTCTCCTCCTCCCATCCCCAACAGCCCCATCTCCTCCTTCAACCGCCACCGAAAACTCAAGGCCTCCTTCGATCTTCGATCCAAAAGAGCAACCATCTCCTCCAACCTCCCGAAACTCTTACCAACTCCTCCGATTCTTTCTCCTCTCAAACCCCCAATTCAAGAAAGTCTAACCTTCCAAATCCTCCTCCCAATCGAAACCCCTCCCCGGCGCTACGGCTCCGGCTCCGGCTCATCTCACGACCGCCGGTCCGCTTCGCCTCCCGCGCTCCGACTCGACCGCTTTTTCAGCCAGCGAGCAGATCTCCGACGACGAAGCCCGGTTCGTCTTCATAAACGAGCCCGACCGGACCAATTCGCCCGTCAAATTCCCCAACAACTCCATCAAAACCTCGAAATATAGCGTAATTACCTTTTTGCCCCGCAACTTATTCGAGCAGTTCCACCGTGTCGCCTACGTGTACTTTCTGATCCTAGCTGGACTCAACTTCGTCCCACAACTTGGGGTTTTTACTCCCGAGGTCGCGATTTTGCCTCTGGCTCTGGTCCTGACTGTATCGGCTATAAAGGATGTACGAGGATTGGCGCGCGCGCACCGGTCAGATCAAACCGAGAATAACAGGACCGTTCCGGTTCTTAAACGGTCGGGTTTTGAACCCAGACCGTGGAAATCGGGTCGGGGAAGTCATTCGGGTCGAAGCCAACGAGACTTTACCGTGCGACATGGTTCTACTATCCACATCCGACCCGACAGGAGTCGCATATGTACAAACTATTAATCTAGATGGCGAGTCCAATCTCAAGACCCGTTATGCTAAGCAAGAGACCCAATTGGTCCCGCCTAATCGGGTTTCGGGTCTTATGAGATGCGAAAAGCCGAACCGCAACATATACGGGTTCCAGGCGAATGTGGATATAGACGGTAAACGGGTATCTCTTGGACCGGGCAACATAATTTTAAGAGGATGCGAGCTGAAGAATACGGATTGGGTTATCGGGGTTGCGGTCTACACGGGTCAGGAGACCAAAGTGATGCTTAACAGTTCCGGTGCGCCATCGAAGCGGAGCCGGTTAGAGGCCCACATGAACCGTGAAACGATTCTACTAGCCGTTGCATTGTTCATACTGTGCACAATTGTTACCATACTTGCGGGGTTTTGGCTCAACAGGCACAAGGACCAGCTAGATTATTTGCCGTACTATAGAAAAAATGATTATTCTGGAAACGGGATTGGAAAATATGATTACTATGGAATTGGATGGGAGATAGTGTTCACATTCTTCATGTCGGTGATTCAGTTTCAAGTGATGATACCGATCGCGCTGTTCATATCGATGGAGATGGTGAGATTGGGGCAGGCTTATTTCATGATAAATGACAAGGAGATGTATCATGCGGCTACGGATTCGAGGTTTCAGTGTAGAGCATTGAATATAAATGAGGATTTGGGGCAGATTAAGTATGTCTTTTCGGACAAAACAGGGACTTTGACAGAGAATAAGATGGAGTTTCAGTGTGCAAGTGTAAGGGGAGTTGATTATAGCGGCAATGGAGATCAAGAGGATGGTGCTTCTGTGTTAGGTATGTGATTATTTTTTTGTAAATATACCATTTTTGCGATTTATTATTATTAAATTGCAAATATGTCTGATTTTTGTTTGCCTGTTAAGTTCATACACCAAGTGGTTTCATAAGGACAGTAAATTCAATGGCTGCAATTAGTTAATGGAAAATTAGTTAATGGAATCTGCTTATGAACAATGAGTGGTAACATAAACCAGGTTAAGGTTCGAAATAGTCAGATTTGATGCTTTCAGGTTCAACCAGATTGAGATTTGAGGAAATAGTCTAATTTAGGGGATAAATTTGCAAAGAGAGATTTGAGGGGGATACAGGGAAAACCCCATGTTTGTAATGTAAGACCGGATCCATCAATTTGAAATCAAGTGCAATTGAGAATGTTTGGTTTCTTACTGTGTTTAGGCCACAGCAGTATTACATCAACGGTGAGGTGTTTTCCTGGATTCTGGAAGATAAATTGAAATGCAACCCAATATCTGGTCAGAGATAAACTAGAGGACTGAGAAATTTTGATGTTAGGTGCAATGCTACATTGATACTTGGAGATATGGCCTAATGAGCTGAATTGCCAAGGGTCATCTCAGCCAAAAAACTCTTATTCATAGGTTTTTGTATTAAATTTTGTTTCATTTTTAAAGAAAGTTCTGTCAATATCCTAGCGTCTAACAAACTGAAAATTACTGGTAAGGATTGCTTTCAATTTTCAAATAACTTGGAAGGACATATCTCATATGCAAGAGAAAAATGTAATCAATTTGGTTGGAGGATCTTGCGTTTGTTCATTGTTGTTTCAGCATCTTGATCTTCGAAATATGTAGTGTTCCATACGCATTTTTTCTTTCGGACGATAAAGATTGAGATATACCCTTATATTACTGAATCAATGATGACTAATTATTTTGGAACAAAGCATAACTATATTTACCTGATTCCTGTGATATCGTCCTCATAATTCATGGATGTTGTCCTAAAACATTAGATATGTTCATGTACAATATCACATATGTACATTGTTTCAGTATACATATGAGGTAACATCAATTGATGCTTTCTAGCTTTTTAAGCTTTGCTTCAGACTTTTTTGTTAGTATATTTGTGTTAGTAGGATTGGTTGCTGAATAAATGCTATATTCATCCTTTCTTCTTTCTTCTGTCTTAAGTATCTCCGATAACGTGTCTTTGTAAATATCATTGCAGTTATAATTGAACTCTTGAAAATGACTAATGAAAATTGTGGAGGGCGTAAGGCCTGCATTCATTTCTCTCGGACTGCCTTCGCTTGTGTATGTAGCCCAATTTCGGGTGAACCATGTAACTTGTCGTGTGTTCTTTCCTATCTTCATTATTTATTCCACTTTTTATTGGCCCAGGGCACTTTGATGCCCCCCCCCCCCCCCACCCACCCCAAACTGGGTTCCCTTGAATAAGGGAGGGTGGCGTTCGTTTATTAAGTTAAGAAGATGGAAGGGAACTATTGGATTAGCTAGCGTTCTGGGAGAATAAGGTCATTTAGTCTGTTCATAACAATTTCTGTATGTAAAGCAAGGGGAAAAGCTTCAACGACAACTCCCCCCTCATTGCCATCGTCGGCCTTTCCCACCTCCCCTCCTTTGATATATAAAATGTCTATAACATATATGTTCTAGTAACGATCAAGTGCATGAATATTCCTGATATCTGCTTTACTTGATTCTTAATTGTTCAGATTGTGCAACTATAAGTAAGAGCATGCAGGTATTTTATCAGGACAGAAAATAGTTATGAAATCCTCTTTGTTTTAGAATATCTCCCAACTTGCATCGGGATATTTACTGACAGAATAAGTTTCCAAGTTATGTCCCAGAGCTAATACCATTCATAAGTTATGACTAATGTCATATATTTCAGCAATAAATTATATTTATAACATGTTAGTACTTTTTTTGGGCAAAATAACCTGTTAGTACATGATTCATGCAAATCTATCAATAATTATAATTATAATTACTGGAAAAGTTTAAGGTAACGCATTTTTTGAAACAGTGGGTGGACAGGTGTGGAGGCCAAAAACGAAAGTTAAACCTGACCCTGAGCTTCTCCACCTACTAAAGCATGGGTCAAGCACGGAAAAGGGAACTCGAGCAAGAGACTTCATTCTTGGATTAGCAGCCTGCAACACGATTGTACCAATAATTTTTGACACTTCTGATCCTACGCAAAAGTTAATTGAGTATCAGGGCGAGTCGCCTGATGAACAAGCTCTAGTTTATGCTGCTGCTGCTTATGGATTCACGCTTATTGAACGGACATCAGGGCACATTGTTATCGATGTTCTTGGTCAGAGACAAAGGTGTGTTTTCTTCCTTTCATTTATCTCATATTTCTTTACTTGTCTGGTATAATTGCATCCTCTTAGTAGTAATAGCAGCAGTAGTAGTATTGGTTTGCTTGTGATCGAAGATGTTCTTTAGAGTAGAGGATGATAAACTTGTCCATATTGTGGAAAGATGGAACTTCTTTATTAATAGGAATTTAATGAAACATCTTAAATAATAATAAGAGACTCCGTCAAAACAAAACAAAATACAAGATACCAATATAAGGTAAGAGTATCAGATATAAAGTCAAAAATATTGCTTGTAACGAGGGGGGAAAAATCCTTATGAGACGATAAGATCGTTAGATATGATAATTCCATTATAATCCACGTGAGAAGACTATTTAGCATTATTGGTGTTTTTATTAGTTTGTTTTGTCATGGTAGTGGTTTTGGTGAGGAAGATAACAATTGCAAATAATATATCAATGGTGATAATTAAGGAAAAAGGAGGTATCTTGAGCTTAGTGATGCTTGCATATTATATGTAGTGATTGATCAGCTTTATTCATTGTTGTTTGGAAATTAGACTGATTACATCATGGGTGAGATCTTTAGGTGGTCTTGTTAATTAAGGAGCGACATAAGGAAGTAGCCCAAAATCATGACATTGTTCAAATGTCATAATACTATCATTACTTGTGTACATATTTTTACAAGTACAAAGATCTTAAAAGCAAGTTGTATGGTAAAACTTTAACACCTTTTCAAACAAAATTGAGAATAATGAGTATGACAAGTGAGAGCCATGTTAGTATTTATTGCTGTCATTAAAACTATACACATGGGGTGAAAGCTTGAAAGTTGAAAGAGGAAAAAAAGATATGAATGCAATATTTTGTACATCACAAACATGAATTCTTACATCCACCACTGCAAGATTTGAATCATAACATTTCCACTTAATGAATGCACATGAATATAATAATAACTCATGTTATTTGTTACGCAGTAAATACAAGTGTATTTAATTCAAAACAAGGATGCAGAATAATTGTACTTATTTATTTTGCTACAACTGCAATGATTTTGCAACTATAAATACAAAAGGAATAATATAGACAATTGCAGTTGCAAAAATACTGTATTTATGATGAGGGAAATAGCCACAATACAAGTATAAATGTGTTTTAAGAACTATTAAATTCATTCTTATTTATGTTTTAGACTATTTTTAGTCTCACTTTATCCCGCAAATTACCACTTTTATTTCATTTCTTTATGAGTATTTTAAATATACTTCTGGGAGGAAATTGATATTTTAGAGGGCAATGTGGAATTAAAAATAGTTCATGGGCATATTTAACAATTCAAGGAATAAGATGAAATTAGAAGTCCAAAGCAAAGCAATCTAAAAATTAGTAAATTTATTTTAAAAACACGTTGCACCAACAACACGCAATACAGCCTTTTTGAAGTAATAAATAAAAAAGGTTGGTGAACCACAAGGTTTGGCTTCAACTAATATTGTAAGAGTTATGATTGATCCTTGAGCTCATTATGTGAAGCCAATGGACTTTTTGAATATGAATAATGAATAATGAATTGAGACAAGTTGCTAAAGACGTGTAGAAGAGAGAATTTTATTGAGGGAAATTTGAGGCATAGAAGTGTTGAAGAGAGTTGTTGACGATGACTTAATTAGTGAGAGGGATATGAACTTGATATAAAATGTTAAGTTTAAAGAGAGGTCATGCAGAAAAATGTAAAACTTTATAATATTTGGCTGGGTATAAATGAACGAAAAATCAATATACTAACTTCTAAAATTAATTTTTTCCCCTTATATAGAGTCACTTCCAAGCTCCTTCCTTTTTCTACACTACACACAAATGACATAAGGACATCGTGGGCTTCATAAAGTCAACCTTGGGAAACTTCCTACACAATTATGTTCTTAATTGGCACCACCTTGATCGCATGCCTCTAAAAAAAAACCTAATCAATGAGAACTTGGAGATGTATGCTCCGTATTTGTTTTGTCATGTAAAGTTCAGCATAGAGGCAGAGGTAGTTACATTGATTTAAGTTGTTCATTATTAACAACAAAATGCACGATAGTATCTTGATTTGATTAAATCCTTTATAAAGGAACATGGAAAGCTTAAAATACACCGCTACCACTACAGAAAAAGGCACTTTACATAAAGAACATCATCAATAGTTCCGTAGTTCAAATGTGTTATTGATACCTTAGCCCCGAAGAAAAATAAAAATCTTATAGAAGATTCGGTGCATTTAAAAAGTTAAAAGACAAATAGAAGGCAACAATAGAGACGTAAGGACGAGCTTAATTAAGCACTTAACAAAGGCTAATAAATTTCCTCTTAATATATACCATTTTTTGATATAACATGGATTATTTACTTAACCACTCATTTAAAAAAGCCGGCCAACCAGCTACTAGGGATAAAGACACGTGACTTCCGGCCAATTTTCGCTTTTCTTTCAGTTCCAATTTCCAAATCCGAATATATTCTCGTTTTTCCTTTTTACCTGCATAATTCCTCTCCATCCCATTTGGATCCATTTCGATGTCTCCGCCTTTTTTTTTAAAGTGGATTGGCCAGGGCCGTACCTAGGAATTTTGGGGCCCAAGGCGAAATATTGGATGAGGCCTAAGTGATACAACTCATAATACATTTTATCTCATTCTTCTTACCTTTTGAGCGGCAAAATTACATATTATTTTCAATATCTTGTAACATGGTCAATCTTAAATAAGATTTTAGTAATTTTAATTTTAAAAAACTTCTTTCAGCGAAAGCAACTGTTACGAGTATAGTCAATAGTACACGATAAGCAATACAAGTATTTAGAAAATAATCTAACCACTTTATATAGTTCAACACTTCAATTGGACTATTAATCTCTATTTTTAAAATTTCCCTAAGCACTCTCAATTCTGAAAACAAATCAAGTCTATTAATATCTAAATGTTCATGCATTTTCGAGATTAAGATAATATGCTTTCAATTCAATATAATCTAAAGCTTTTAATTTTTTCAAATCAAACAAAAAACCAATTTTTTTTTCATACGTTTTTAATTGTTCAAACCTACTTTCAATTGAGCCAAGCGATTTATCAACTATGTATAGAAATATTCAATACGAAAAGGTTCTTCAGCGTTAAATATTGTTTCATTACCAATATTTCATCAAATTGTTTTTTTCTATGAATTTTACGTTTTTCACAAAATATAGGTTGTACGTCATTTAATTAGCAAGTTCTTTAGTTGAATTCAAAGCAGATATAAAAGCATTTTGTCTATAATTTTCTAAATATACAATAAGACCCTTTAATTGATCTATGACAATATCAATATGCATATATTTAGATTGTAAGATTTTACTAACTGAATTAACAGCAAACAATATGTCATACCAAATATTCATAGCTATTAAGAATTCAAAATTTTCAATCTCATAAGTTGCTAAGCTATTAACTTCACTTTTTATCTTTGGATCTTTACTTTTTAAATAGGATTAGTTTTATGCTTAAGTAACTAAGTTACATATATTATATATATGGGTGGGTGGGCCTTATCCAACTTGGGGCCCAAGGCAAAGGCCTTAGTTGCCTTATGCTAGGGCCGGCCCTGGGATTGGCTTTGGATCATTCCAGAAACTACTGTTTTACTTGCTGGGCCTTCTCCCTGTTATAGCACTTTTACTCAATCTTTTCTCCCTCAATATTAGCATTTTCCTACTGAATAATTAGTAAGAAGAGATTAGTAGTTATTTTAGTTGCCTCATAAGAGTAGAAAGTTACAGGTAGCAATCATTTTCATAGTAAAGAGTCATTAGACGTAATATCAAAGCAAATAATGTTTAAATTTCACGAGTTATACATTTAAAGCTGATAAAGAAAATGGGATATCACCGTATGACTCTGTATTTTAGTTCAACGAGAAGGAGTCTTAGCTATGGGAATATTCTAGAATGCATAATTATAAGATTTAACTTTCATTACAACTGAGAATCGAGAAGTCGTTGATATAGTGAAAGGATAATTAGACATTAAGAAAACGCGTCACTAATTCAGTGAACATAACTCCCGGGATATTTTATCATATGCCAAAATCTTATTCTATTGTAGATAAAAAAAATTAAGTTAAAAATATTACTGCTATCATGGAGCTGTTAGAATTCGAATAAGGTTCAGTTCATCCATGCATAAAGATGTTAGTATTCAATATTAGCTTTTTTGATGTGCTTTCTCTTACTTGTTTTGAGGGGAAAAAAAATCCATGAATTCGTAGAAATATGATCTCTAACTGCTCTTCGTATCCCATTCATCTTGCATGTCTAGTGTCATGAGAGTCATGCTCTCACCAAATCATTAATAATAATAATAACAATAATAAGAATAAAGTGAAAAAGTAAAAGAATTAAAAAAAAAACTAACCCCCAACTGTAGTCCCCTCTCCCTCCTAAAAAAGCCTCCCCTCTGCCATCCCTCCTCCTTCCTCCCCTCCGATATCTACTTCCGATTTCCAAACCCAAACCTTCTCCAAATCCTCCTCGAAAACTAAAATCCTTTCACCATTGAGCTTTTGATGCCACTAGAGCCAAAAGAAGAAAAAATTCAATGGTAAACTCCGAGAGGCCTCTCTTGGATCCCTCTCCCCGCCCAATTCCCTCCCCCTCCTCTAACCGCGACCTCTCCCTCTCCGATCATCCAACTCGCTCCGCATCCACCTCGACCGAAACTCGCCGCCGACTCCGCCGCCTTCTCCTCCCGCAAAGCCGACCTCGCCGACGAAGACGCCCGCATCGTCCACGTCAACAACCCAACCCTAACCAACAAAGACCTCGAGTTCTTCAACAACTCCATCAAAACCACCAAGTACTCTCTCCTGACCTTCCTCCCTCGAAATCTCTTCGAGCAGTTCCACCGCCTCGCCTACGTCTACTTCCTCATCATCGCCGTCCTCAACCAGCTCCCCCAGCCNNNNCCTTCGTCCTCCTCGTCACCGCTGTTAAAGACGCCTACGAGGACTACCGCCGCCATCGATCCGACCGGATCGAGAACAATCGCTCCGCCCTCGTCCTAAACCCTAGCCCTGTCTCGTTCCGACCTAAACGATGGAAGGAGATCGAGGTTGGGGACATTCTTAAGGTCCTCGCTGATGAAACCCTGCCTTGTGATATGGTGCTTCTTGCGACCAGCGATCCCACTGGTGTTGCTTATGTTCAGACTATAAATCTTGACGGGGAGTCTAATCTGAAGACGAGGTACGCGAAGCAGGACACCATGGCGAGGGCGAGGGAGAAGGACGGGGATTTAGGGTTTGGGTCATTTTCAGGGGTGATTCGTTGTGAGAGGCCGAATAGGAACATCTACGGGTTTCATGCCAACATGGACATTGATGGGAAGAGGGTTTCGCTTGGTCCGTCGAATATAATTCTGAGAGGTTGTGAGCTCAAGAACACGGCTTGGGCTGTTGGGGTTGCGGTTTATACGGGGAGAGAGACGAAGGTTATGCTCAACAGCTCGGGAGCTCCGTCGAAAAGGAGTAGATTGGAGACCCATATGAATAGAGAGACCCTTTTGCTGTCTGGGCTCTTGATTGCGCTGTGCTCTGCTGTGACTGTTTGTGCGGGCGTTTGGTTGCGGAAGCATAAGGATGAGCTTGATGACTCTCCTTACTTTAGGAAGAGGAACTTCGTCGGGGATGATAAGAATTATGACTACTATGGGATTGCGTTGGAGGTGGTCTTTACGTTTTTGAAATCGGTGATTGTGTTTCAGATCATGATCCCAATTTCATTGTATATATCGTTGGAGCTGGTTCGGCTCGGGCAGGCGTATTTTATGATTAGGGATAGGAATTTGTATGATGAGGCTTCAAACTCGAGGTTTCAGTGTCGGGCACTGAACATAAATGAGGATTTGGGGCAGATTAAGTATGTGTTCTCTGATAAGACGGGGACTTTGACTGAGAACAAGATGGAGTTTCAGTGTGCGAGTGTGAGAGGTGTCGATTACAGTGGAGGGAAAACACCTTTGCCTGCTGATATAGGTGGAGTTCATACCGTAATAGGTAGTAAATTTGGCTCCTTTATATGTGAATTTGTTTGTGAGGTAAAAAGATTTGGTTGTCTGGGTTATATAACATGTATTGTGTTTTACAACAGTTGGGGATCAGTTTTGGAGGCCAAAGATGATGGTGAAAACTGATCCTGAGCTAGTGAGGCTGTTGAGAAGTGGAAGGGACACTGAAGAAAGGAAGCATGCTCGTGAATTCTTCCTTTCTTTGGCGGCTTGCAATACCATTGTGCCTATCGTAGTCGATACACCTGATTCCGCTCAGAAATTGATTGATTACCAGGGTGAGTCCCCCGATGAGCAGGCGTTGGTCTATGCAGCCGCTGCATATGGATTTGTGCTTATCGAGAGGACCTCTGGGCATATAGTCATTGATATTCTTGGGGATAGGCAGAGGTAAATCTTTTCTTGTTATGGTGTTTGCTTGGTTGTTAACATCTTATGTTCTGACTCTGTTAGTTAGCGACTCTCACATCAATAGGAAAGCAGCTAGTTGTAGTAAACCATCATCATACCTTCTTAGTAGCTGTCGTTGTAGGATAAGTAGTGGTATATTTGCTTTCCGTTTAATATATATACTACAGTTATAGTACTAGAACAAGCTGCAGCTAGTCTGTGCTATTCTTTTTGTCTTCCCTTTGGATATCTTAGTTTCCTGTGGTGGTATATTTCTTAATTTGGTTAGTTGTTATCTGCTTAGTTGGTGGTTATTCATTAGTAAGTGACTACCACACCAATGGTAATTCAGCTTGTTGAAGTTTATCATCATCAAGTCCGTCTTTCTTTTGTAGTTGTTTTGGTGATAGGTGTAGTCTAGGGCTAGTCATCTGTATCTTTCCGATGGCTGACTTAATTTAAGTATTTTTTTTACACCTAATAATGGGGTGGCATCATCAGTTGTAGATAATTCGAGCAATCTTGGGTGTTGATGTCCTTTTCTGAAGTCTTTGTTCTATATTATAGCACTTAATTAGATTTTTCGTGTGATTGTGAATAATTGAATCCTATTAATTGTAGATAAAGACAGTCATATCATTATTGTTATTATGGTTGTGGTATCTTTCAGAATATTTATGTTTCTAATGCTGTAATAACATGAGATGATATTTTGATTGTGTATTATACAGTAGTTTTTTTTCCTTCAAAATATCCTCTCATTATATTTTAGTATCTGTTTTTAACAGAGTTAGTATTCAGTTGTCAAGGAACTATCTTTGATTGATCTCGTGCAATTCATATGAATTTTGATATCTATGTTGTTTACAGGTTTGAAGTGTTGGGCCTTCATGAGTTTGATAGTGACCGCAAGAGGATGTCAGTTATAGTTGGCTGTCCTGATAAGACTGTTAGGTTATTCGTGAAAGGAGCAGACAGTTCGATGTTTGGAGTCATAGACAAATCCCTGGATCTTGATGCAATTCATGCAACAGAGACCCATCTTCACAAATATTCATCAATGGGTTTGAGAACACTGGTTATTGGTATGCGGGAATTAAGTTCAACAGAGTTTGGGGAATGGCAGTCTGCTTATGAGAGAGCAAACACAGCATTGTTAGGGAGAGGAGGCCTATTAAGAGCTGTTGCAGCCAATATTGAATGCAATCTCCAATTATTAGGAGCCTCAGGAATTGAGGATAAGCTGCAACAAGGTGTGCCTGAAGCCATAGAGTCTCTGAGACAAGCAGGGATTAAGGTCTGGGTTTTAACAGGCGATAAGCAAGAGACCGCCATTTCCATTGGATATTCTTGTAAGCTCCTGTCAAGTGAAATGACCCAGATTATTATAAACAGCCGTTCCAAGGAATCATGTAGAAAAAGTCTAGAAGACGCGATCGCCATGTGTAAGAAGTTGGCGGCAATGTCTCCTGCAGCACAAGATAATGGTTTTGGGAGTCGCTCTACAAGAATTCGTCTCGCTTTGATCATAGATGGTACCAGTCTTGTATATATTCTAGAGACTGAATTAGAAGAACAGGTAATTCATATGTTATTGAAATATATTAAACCTTGTCTCTCTGCTGTTCCATTTTCTCTCAATTATAACTTCGTATCTGATTCATTGATGGTGCAGCTTTTCAAAGTGGCTACTGCGTGTGATGTTGTATTATGTTGCCGGGTGGCTCCATTGCAGAAGGCTGGAATAGTTGCTATTATCAAGAATCGCACAGATGATATGACTCTTGCAATTGGAGATGGTAATCAAAATTCCCATGTTAATTTTTCTTCTTTCTTTTCCGATGTCAATGTAAAACACTTTGCAGCTTATACTGATTTTTTAATGATATTATCTAGGTGCTAATGATGTTTCAATGATCCAAATGGCTGACATTGGCATTGGCATTAGTGGTCAAGAAGGACGGCAAGCTGTTATGGCTTCAGATTTCGCCATGGGGCAGTTCAGATTCTTAGTGCCACTTCTGCTGGTTCATGGTCATTGGAATTACCAGAGAATGGCATACATGATTTTGTACAATTTTTACAGGAATGCTGTATTCGTTTACATGCTTTTCTGGTAAGTGATCCCTGTACTGATCTCACTGTCTGACATTTTATATTTGATTAAATGCATTTCCATCTCAGTTTAACTGTTATGGTATCTTTGCTCTCATCCATTATTCACTTATCGCAAGTTAATCTTCCTAATGTAATTCTGGGATTTTCTCTTCAGGTATGTACTTTGCACAGCCTTCAGTTTAACAACTGCAATCACAGAATGGAGTAGCGTGCTATATTCTGTGATCTATACTGCTCTCCCAACCATCATTGTTGGAATTCTCGACAAGGATTTAAGTAGGAAGACACTACTTAAATATCCCCAACTCTATGGGTCTGGTCAGAGAGAAGAAAGATACAACCTAAAGCTATTCATTCTTACTATGATTGATACCATCTGGCAGAGCTTAGCTATATTCTTCATCCCTTATCTAGCATATAGACAGAGTGACATTGATGGCTCCAGCATTGGGGACTTGTGGACGCTTGCAGTGGTCATCATTGTTAACATTCACTTGGCTATGGATGTTTTTCGGTGGACTTGGTTGACTCATGCTTCCATCTGGGGTTGTATAGTTGCAACAGTCATTTGTGTCATCATCATAGATGCAATACCTATGCTACGGGGATTCTGGTACTTTCTCTTTCACCAAGGATTATTGCAGTCAATTCCTTATGCATCTTATTTCTTTATGATAAATTTAGATATAAGACATTTTAGCTAGGCCTAGTTTTAGCATTATTTATCAGACTTGAAACCCAGATTTTTGTGCAAGTTCCAAATTCCTGAGACTTTGAGACACATATCGTGTATGTAAATATACACATTGGTTCAGTACATACTATGAATGTAAAGATTACTTGTTGACTACTGAATAGTTGGTCTTGACACGCGCACAATTGGTCTCGTACTCACACACAAAATAGGCCTTTGGCATACACATTCCAATGTCTCAAGCTCATGATTATGAAACAATCATTCATGTTAGATAACAGTGCTGAAATATCTTAATGATGGAAACGCACGTTAAAAATTATCCTGGCTAGTGTAGTTCTCCAATTTTCTTGGCAACAAAGAATAAAAAAGAAAAATTTCAAAGATCATTCATAGACTTGGATGGTTTGACTTGGGAATGGAACCCCAGTTTCTGTCACGATTGATGTGATGCACACCGGACACTTGGAAATAATTGTTGGATGCCCTAGTGTGCATTTCGAATTAAATGAATTTTAGCTGAAATCTGCACAAAATACCTAGAGTCCATTTTTAGTAAGCAGGGGTAATCTCTGTTTTCACTGTATCTCTAGGTGTGTTGTCAAATACATTGCACTTGTTAAACTAGCATATGAAGCATGATTATTGTAATTTAAGAAAGACAATATAAAAATAAATTCATGTTTGAGAGTCATCTCTTTTATAAATGAGATGCAACATTAAACATTTAGAAACGTAGAAAAATATTTTGATGAATTGTTGTATTTTTTCCAGGGCTATCTTCCATGTTATGGGAACTGGATTGTTCTGGTTGCTCTTGCTTTGTGTAATCATAACAGCAATGGTTCCAAGGCTCGCAATGAAGGTAATTACCGAGTATTTCATGCCTAGCGATATTCAAATTGCAAGAGAATTAGAGAAATTTGGCGGTGTAAATGCAACGAATACATCAGAAATCCCAATGAGCACTTTTTCACACTCCTAGCTATAATTCAGGCGCTGTGAGTTCTTTTTGTTCTTATAGGTTTTTTCCTTTTTCCTTTTTCTTTTATGTGTGTATATTAGCCTATTCTTTCAGCTTAGCTTCGGATTTCTCACCGATTGCGAGGTTTTTGTTACCTATCCGAAGGGGTAGATTTGTATTCCCTGCAGTGTTGTGAATTATTTGTAACAAAAAAATTATAGGAAGAGCAAAGTAGTTTATACAAAAAAATACCTTCATTTTTTCCCTTCCCCTTGTACAAGGATCTTATGTATTCAACATGATTTATATATAATACTGATTTTTGTGCATATTACTAGACGTTATTTAAATTTTAAACCCGTGATAGGTAGCACTCCCTTTAGACAAGTATTTTAAGAGCTGTTCTCTGCATTGAATGTTCATTAGTGAAGTATTTATCAAATTATTTGGTGAACATGGGATGCTTCCGACTGCTTGAGTACTGCATGTTATTTATTTATTTACCCTCATTTAACATAGTCCGAGTTGGCTGGTGCTTGCTGCTGAGATCGTGGACCAACTTAAGCTAACTCATTAGCTGCCTAAAGAAAGATTCCTCTAATAATCTAATATTCAAAATTGTCAAAATCATGTGTATCACAGAAGTCATTGATGGTTTTGAATTGGTGAGCTGTTGAAGGCATTATTTTACAAGGGTCTGCATTTTATTTTATTCGGAGCTGTAATGTTTTTAAAATTTATGTGATCACATGTCCTCTCTGTTCTCTATTCATTACATGAGATGGGCTCAGTGTATTTAACTGTTCTCCGTCTTCTTTTAAGCTTAAACATAATGCTGATGCAGAACTTGTCTTAGTTATACTAAAAACAAATAATAATAATAATAATAATAATAATAATAATAATAATTGTATCATCTTGCTATTTACTTTTTATGTTCCCTGTGATTTTAAGTTTATATGAATGCAGTTGTTGGAATATGTCCACATTCAGCAATTGGTTAGTGTAATTTGGATAATCTGAACATATGCTAAAAGCAATCTAGTTGAGAGTTTACAAGCGGCATGGTTATGTGATTGAAATTCATAAAAATTCTAATCTATTATTCCTTTGACAGGAATTTTCCAAGGACATTTTTACATCTAATTGAGACTTTATAGAACACAAGATTCCATAATTTAATTTGAATTATTGACTCGAGGGAGAGGGGGAAGAAAAGAACCATCATTTATTGCCTTCTCTTTTAAGTAATTTGGTCTCTCTTTCTTTGTGAAAGATTGTCATGCTGTATGAACTTATGGACTCTCTCTTTCTTTATGAACTCCATAAATTCATGAGAACGAATCAGATTAGTTCTTTTATATTGAAAGGGGTGGTGAAATTCTCGAAGTTAACTCGTGAATGGTACAGAGAGTATCTGCTCCCATGCGTGTAGTTTTGATGCGATTTGAGTTCTTCATTTGGAAATTCATGGGCTAGAGGCTGTTCATGGGTAAATTCGCTTTATTTGGAAGAGAATCAAGGCCTAATGTTGGACTTCTTTTTGGCTGTCTATAGGAAAAAAAAACCCCTTTAATTTTGGGTGATTATCATATAACACCTGATAAGTTTCAAAATATCCAGAAATCCCCCTTAAGCTAGGTGTTATCAGAAACCTTTTTTGACTTCAAGAATTTTTTTTAAAGGAAAACCCTCTAAAGTATGAACCATAGTTTTTACTAGGAAAAGATAATCAATCCCCTGTTATAATTGTAGCCGTTTTCCCTTTAAACCTTCTCTTTGTGTCAAGCCCCGGTTGTGGTCTTGGGCTTAGCTTGCAATTGGCCTTGAACTTTCTGTAATTGTTTATGCATCTGTTACTTGAACCGTATGGACTTAGCCTCGATTCATCTTTATACAGTACTCCAAGAAAAAATGTTTATGCATCTGTTGGAATTTGGATCTCTACAAAAAGGGGCCTAATGCCTGAAAGCTTTCATTATGCTAGTTTTTTGGGTTTAGCACGAGCCATGTGCATTACAGCCCATAATATTCAACTTGATAGGGCAGATATGCTCTAGCCATTATCTGTGCGAGCTTAAAAAAATGATGGGCTGCGCTTATAAGACCCCTCTTTCAACTAAAGTTAGACCTGAATAAGATTAATCTAAATTTTAGAAAGCCTCTAACCCTCTGAAGGGGTTCTCTTGGAGAGCTAAATGTATCATGAATAGGAGTTGAACGCCAAATGAGTTAATGTCTTTTTTCCCCACAAAAAATTTAGCTATTGAGCCCAACTTTGTATTTAGTTTCATTTCGATTTTGTTAATTTTTTAATGTAGGAATGTATTCACACATGAATATCAACAATATCTTTCTTTATTTGTGGTTATACCATCCAGAGGAACTAATGGATTATCTGCTGAATTGCGAACCATATAACAACAAAATGGTTGCTAACATTCATAGCATCTTTTACCATTTATGGGCTAATCAGATGTTGGAAAAGCAATCTCAAGCATCAACTATCATTTGTGGGTTAGCACGTCTTGGATTTAAACCAACAATAATAAGTAAAATGTTTCATTATCCAGACATCTCGGTTGCATGATTTGGTCTAAATGAGCTAAGAGACATTCTAGAACTATACACACACACACATGAATTCTCAAAAACAACAAAGAATGGGCAGAAAATTGAAGCAAGTTTTCTTTCTTTTCCTTTCCTTTTTATTTATTTATATGAAGAGGTATCAAAATGCATGGTATGAAGAGACTAGAAGTAATCTCAATGAGGAGATTAGAAGCAACCTCTATAGAGAAAAATTCACTCTAACGTGCTTTATCTCAAGCCCATTTTCGTGCAACAAGATCGATCACCTCATCAACAAGAATATCTCATTTTCAATTGTAGATGAGATCATGGACGTAAGAAAAATACAAGTTACCCAAACTATCATGAGCACAATTGTCAGTGTCATATATGACACATTTGGATCTTTGTTGCGATATTTGGAAAGAAATTTGTCTCATTAGTTGGATTCGGAAGCCAAACCAACATGATTTAATTATTATTTTAGTAGATACTCTTTCATCACATCTCTTTTATTTTTTAGATCACAAAGACAACTGACCTGCCCTAGATATAGGCCGTACGGGCCGCAGCACTTTGGCTCGACTTGCGAAATTGGTAACCCAGAATAGATCATGGGGTCATGATCTTTCATTAATGCCCTGTTATTACTTTGATTGGTCAAGAGTAAGTTAATGAAATAGTTTCTATAAGTGGTTAGACGTAGAACCCCGTAGAACATTAACGAAACGATTAATTCAGGATTCCCTTTCCTTCTTTTATTTATTGTTTTTATTGGGACCAATTTGCTGCACATTAGGGTAAGATTTTGGGTAAAGGGGCTTGTTTGATGTAACGTACGCTAGCTAGCTGGCACCTGGCAACAAGGAACTAATTCATCTACTGCTTAAATTAAATCACCGTTTATGTTTTTATTTTGCGAAAACACTGTTCATACTACAACATTATTTCGAGCCTTAGCTTTGATGTTCATGATGTAGTGTTTTTTCCGGTCTCTATTAAAGAAAATTGATAAAACTTTGCCAAATGATACTATATTGTTTTGTCAGCTGGTTTGGAGATTTACTCTATAATTAGTAGTACAAAAATCTGCCACTGAAGTTTTTTTATAAATAGTTATATATAAAAAACCATATTATTAATTTAGCAAAAAAAGCAACACGCGAGCTTAATACTAGTACAGTAGAGAAAGAAACCTAAGTGAGCAACGATCTAGTAACATTACTCCCGGCATTCCAGAATTGTTCTCCGTAGATTCTATGTATACGTGAGCAAATGGTTGTATAATCAAGGTTTACTGGTTACTGGGGTGTAGCAAAATTAGTTACTAGAGCTTTGCGCGATAAATATATAAATAAATATTCTGGTACCTTTAATAATTTATTCTAATATTCCTAGTTGATTTAAAGTGTAGACTTGATTTCACTACTTGAATATATATTTCTCAAAAGATTAAAATTTAAGACGCTTTTATTAAATTTTATGACTGTTTGTGAAAATTACGATTAACTTTGCTCATCAAATTACTATAGATGAACTCTACCTCTGTTCTTTTGATGAGATCTTCTCGCGGTGTATCCATGGACGTATGTAAGTGCGAAATTGCGCCAAATTTCGTCACATATAATCCTCGACATAAAATCTTTCTATAGTTCAAGAAGAAGATAGTATTCTTGACTTATATATATTATTTATCCACGGTATAGATTTATCTTCTCCACTATACACGATCATGTCTTCTTATTTGTTATAAAAAAAAACTAAATTTAAAAGACACTTCAGAAAGGTCTAGATAACCACTTCAAAAACTCTGGGGTTTACTATTTCATCCCTTGAGAAGAGATAATTCAAATGGATTAATTAGCCTAGTACTTCTCTTTAATTCCTCTCCCTCAAACATTTGGGAGAGTGGGCCATATTGGACAGGGCCCACTGGGCCAAGTATCGTACCATAGTACTAAAAGCACAGTAAAAACCTTACCCCCTTCTCCACAACTCTTATTGGGTCGGGCTATAATCATAACGGCTATTGGGCCACGTCGAGTGCTTTGCGTCCATCAGTCCTAATCGTTTTAATACCCCCACCAACCCCACTAATAAATAAATAAATAAATAAATAAATAAAACGAGCCTTTAAAATTCGGTTGATTGAAATAAATTCTTTTTTCGAGGGGTTTCCGATTGCAATCACCCACCAGATGATCTATTCGGGTCCAGAGTGGGGCTTGTTTAAGATCCAAAACAGTCCTTTTTATCTAAGCCCGTTATCAAAACCGCGTCAACTTGCCGACATGAGTTAGATGGATCTCACTTAGGCTTGAGCAAAATTGGGAGTGATTAATAAAATAAATAATGAGAGCGTGCAGTGTTTGGTTATGCATGTGAAAGGGCATCGGATTTAAAAAAAAAAAAAAAAAAACAGTAGGACTCAAGATTGACCCGGAACCCGAGACACGGAGGCTGAGAAGGGGAAGGTGGCGAGCGACCGACCGACCCCTCCAAACAGAGGGCACGTACACAGTGCGGCTGTTTCATTCATTCATTGAAACACTATAAAATATCATCATCATCATCATCACGTATTGATATTTAATATAGTTCATAATTAATATTATAAGGGACTATGTAGAGTGTTGCGACACCGACCAAGGGCTTTTGGTTTGGCTTTTAGGGCACATGCATTGATCCCTAGCTTAGCTCCTCTCCCCTCTAGAGATCGGTGCTAGCCTTCTTGCATGCTCTCTCGCAAGAAAGCCACCC